AAGATGTTAAGAGATTGTACTTGTTGTTACCTTGCCTGTTGCATAGCATTAAGGGGCTAAAACAAGGACTGGTCGGCTCGAAAATGGTTTTCTTTGTCTGGGTGGGGTATTCATGATAAATTGTGGCATGGTATCACTATAATGGCTGGCACTAAAAAATCGGCTGGACTAGTACAAGCAGCCACACACACACACACATGTGCATGCATGTCGCTATCTAAACGCAATAGTCTTGAATGCAATGTTAAACCCCATTTCACCTCACTTCACCTCATGCCTAAGGTGTCAATGTATTGCAAAACCTATTATAGGATTGACAATGTCTAGAAAACTTTGTTCAATATATAATAATATCAATTCCACTAATAAGTCTAAATATCAATAAAATCTACTGAATAAAGCCTGTTTTACAATGACTTACAAATCTGGGGGTCCAGGTGACCCCAATAATTAATTTCAAGGGTTATTACAGGAAATATGAGGGCCCTGTAATGTAGTACTGTAAGGAATTTGATGCAATGAATATTATTGTATGACCATTCTATACACTTGTGTGTACTTGATTTACATTTTTCCCTCATGTAAAACCTGTTATGTAACTAAACAACTTTTTTTTTAACGATGAATGAGACTTTACAGATGTTAGATAACCTACGAACCCAGAACACACTTTCAAAACCATGAATCATGAAAAAAAGTAAGCACAAGTCTCTATACTATCCAGAACCTAGGGGAATGAACACATGTCTCCTGTCATCATGACAAATTGTTTTAACTTTTCCCCCTTTCCAAATATATCAACTTAAATGTCCTTTGCTTAGTGTCACCCAACATCTACAGGGGTATTTGACTACATGTTGTAAAGTGAATCTGTACACTTTGATGTGGAGGACCTTCAGGTGACTTGAAATAAGATGAGATGACTGTGCACACATAATGGCCTTTTAATCCTCTGGTGGCAGGACTCTTTCCTGTTTCATGTCAGGGGCTGTTAATAGTGGGAAGCCAGTTTGGTGCTGCGCCATCAAAATAGATGTTTGCGTGTTCTTTTATGGGAGACGGTTATGTGTGTGTTGGTGTGTGTGTAAACTTTGTGAGAGCAGGATGGAATAAAGTTTGTTTTACTACATGCAACTACATAAATTATTTGTGAAGTTACTTACTTGTGTTTAATTTTCTGTAATAAACTGTAATATTGTTGTAAGGTAATTTGTTACATGAATATGTTACTGTTACTCAGAACTAAGTGTAGTATTATTGGAAGTGTCAACTGAGGAAACACCGATTTATTGCAATATTTCTATCCTTCTACTTCAGTTTGTTTAGTACCACATGTATTTGGGCTGGGACTGGTAACTCACATACTTGGGTACAGAGAAGAACCATGGTATCCACAGGACTACCCAGACCCGTGGTTATGGGATATATTGTTTCATGTCAAAAATGTTCTGGAAATATATGGTTACACTACAAGTCACTAATGTTCCCATTTCTTTCTGACTATGCACCCATTCCTTCTGACTTTCATATGTTTGAATAAAGATAAAACTTCCATCAACTTAGGTGTATGCATGACCATATCGTTTTATATGTGTATGTCAATACATTTTGTCCAGGGCTACATCAAAATATTCACAATCTGACATTTTGTGCCTTTCTCTTGAGACCTACAGCGGGTACCAGGGTAGGGTCGGGTTATAGGGGGGTGGGAACCCAGGTAGTAAATTTGGACTCGTCCCAGCCCTAACATGCATGACACCAAAATAGATAACATTGTCAGGATGATGAAGTGATCACTGACAAAATGTGAAAAATGTTTGATTCTTGTTTGAAGAATAGGTCTTCAGCAACCCGTGCTTGTTGTAAGAGGCGACTCGGCTTATCGTAAGAGGTGACTAACGGGATCAGGTGGTCATGCTCGCTGACTTGGTTGAGGCATGTCATCGTATCCCAATTGCGTGGATCGGTGCTCATGATATCAATCATTGGATTGTCTGGTCCAGACTTGAATATTTACAGACCGCTGTCATATAGCTGGAATATTGCTGAGTGTGGTGTTAAGCAACAAGCAAACAAAACAAAGTGTCTCATACACATGAAAGGTTTAAATTCAAGCATATACACAACATATACACAGTAAATGGCCAGGACAAAAAAAAATACAAGTTTGGTATACCCACGAGTTCGTCATAAGCGTGTTCATTATAAACATAGTTTACTGTACTTCCACACTGGCACTAAACCACAAGACTTTCAAATCTCTAGTTAGTGTTAGCAGTGACCTCATTATTAGTTAGCATGTGCAAGGAGACCAAGTAAATTTCTGAATTTTTGGTAAATGAATTTAAATATTGGAAATATTTGAAAACTTCAGACAATTTGCATTTAATTCAGTCATTACTGATTGTGATTGAAGTTGTTGATTAAATGTTAGTAATATTTCAGTTTAAATCATTCCCACTTTGGTCTATATTTTATATAACATATATACACGTGGCAACGTTATTTCCATTTATAACACCTACGACATTGGATGTTTTGTGTCATCGTGACTAGTATCCCTCGGCATGACAGGAATTCAAGTCCTGAAAGCATGGACTGCCGTGTTCTTCCCCCTGTGAATGAATGTGGGTGGAAGATAAGACGCTAAATGACATGTAGGTGTAGAGTCACTTACTTGCCTCATTGAACGAGCAGTTTGGGTCATTCGTGTTTACTGGATCGAGGAATTGTATGGCCTGACAACTCATCAATGTCCAATGGCTTTTGATAAGATCTTGCTATGAGCTGGTGCGTAAATTGGAATGAATTTCATGTCAGGGTGTTATTTTTGCATAGGTGTAGGCATGTTTTAGTTAGATTGGAAAGAATATATTTTCTAATTGATATGCATGAAGTTATGCAGTATTATATGGAATGTGTTAATAACAAATTATTATATTCTTTAAAAAGGATGTTATAAAGTTGTTTAATAATAATGATTTAATTGTTGAGTAAATAATGTTGATATCCTATTTCCATTTGTAGTGTGGTTGAGTGGGCCTTGTGGTCAATAGGTCTTCAGCAACCCATGCTTGTCGCAAGAGGCGACTTACTGGTTTGGGTGGTCAGCAGTGTTTAAAATAATTTTAAAATCTAATAGGACAGTCGGGCAGGTGACCTATATAAGTGTTGCCTGATGCTCTTCAAAGTAACCAGTCTCCATTCAGGCATTATAAATATTGAAAAATCGTAAAAACTAAGAGACAAATCACAGCTTGATTCAGTTGAAATAATACAAAGAATTACTACAATCACAAGGAGTTATAATAAAACTGAATACATAAGTAGTCTTAAGATTATCTGCCAGACAGTCAGGCAGGTGGAGGAGACTTTCATGCAGTATGACAGAAATGCTAGCAGACACGGCAGGCAGACGGGCAGGCAGGCAGTAATTTGGGACACTGGTTGTTAGGCTCACTGACTTAGTTGATGCATGTCATAGTATCCCAATGGCGTAGATAGATGCTCAGCTGGACTATTGGCAAGTTCGGCGTTACACAACAAACAAACAAAACAAACAATAGTGGTCAATATGTTGGATCCTCATGCCGAGTTTGATTCCTACATGGGTACCTAGATCACCTCTGCCTTCATTTTGCTAGAAGCAGCATAAAACCTTATTAAATCATTCATCCAATATTCATTAAAACAAAAAAGATCAATTTAGAATTTGGAAAAACAATAAAATGTACACGTAAACAATACATTCGCAGTTGAAGTCAGTGACATTATACAGGGTGGCACCACTTTCACTGACATACTGCCATTATCAAGCACATCAAGACATCAAATACTGTCATCCATCACATCTATCTCATTAAGATCGGCCACAGCTAATAATTATCCATAGGGTGTTCAGCATTAGCCTTGCTATCTATATCTGTGGTGGTAGTACTGATAGTACTGTTCCTTGTTTTGTTGAGTGACAAGTCTGACAAAGTCTGGACTAACAAGGTTGCAAGAGTTGTGTCCCTTGATGTGTTCAACATCGCTTACTCTTGAAGACATTTGCATTAGAAAATCTTTCAGATATTCTTTTTTAACATGTAATGGGTATGTTTCTCAGCAGGATAAAGCTAACAGATAAAAACGATATCCATTGGGGTCATATGCAGATAGAGATGCATGTATGAAAGGTCAAGATGGGTCATCGCCCTTGTCATTCGGCGATCGAGTCAGAATTAACCGTTTGGAATCTGGAGAAACTCCTGGGATAATTGCTCTCATTATCAAAAGAATAGATTAGTATACTGAAAGACTGTCTAACTGAGACGTACCATAATCAAAAGGCATTTTACAAGTTTGGGCAACTTGGAGATGTAAATTGCGAAACAATTTAGCGAGGACACTAGCCTAGCAGGATCAGTTTCCACAGCTGTGGTTATAGACGTCTGCAGCTTGGATCGTTTTCCAAAAATTAACACAGTTGGATTTGGCCATAATATGTCTGAATTGTTACCTTGTTTGATTTTGTCACTGTGTGTTATTTTGCCTATATGTAGTTACACAATTGTATAAGAAACAGGTTTTAGTTGGAACTATATTGACTGGTGTCACTGTCCAGCTGACACATCACTGACCTTCTGATGTAATATATAATTATGCGCTTATTCCAGGAAAACTTGCAATGTTTTGGTAAAGTTTGTGAGAGATTTCGAACACAGAATTGAAGAATGACATTTCAAGCTAAAGAGGTTATCACGCTTGTGTGTTTGGGATGGTAAATATCCTATATTAGGACTAAACACTATGTATTTAGCTTTCCAGGGCTTGCTAAATCAATGTATATTCTTAATACAGGATATTTACCATCCCAAAACACACAAGGGTGATACCTTTACGACTCTATGTCCATGACTATGTCTTTTAGATGTGTTTGCAGTTATCAATTGTACCAACTTAAAAGAATGCGAGTAATAGTTTCCATCAATATTCTTACACTCAGCTATCTATTCCAGCTGTGGGGAACCTGAAGCAGTACAGTAAAGTGACTGACCACCATGTCGCACGCCATGGGTTCGACTGCTACATGTTCACCCCAGACTCCCGCCCTCACTGCATCAAGGACTGCTACACACTGGCCGATCTCACCCCGACCAAGATCCTACGCGGCGCCGATATCTACAGAAAGGATGGACTCTGCAGCTCCAATCTCTTCAAGCTGTGGCCAATCGTTCTCAACGATCACAAAGTTGAAAGCCCACAACTTAGCATGTTACGCAGGGTAAGATATGATATTTTTAATCAAATCTATGCTTTTCTTTTTGTCTTGAGAATGTAGGGTTTCTATGTTTAAAGTGATTCATTTTGACGAGTATTGTTTTCTAAATCACATTCAATTATTGAGGCTGAGGTCATGAAAAGTTATTAAAATGTGTCTCATCATCTTCTTATGTCAAATAAAACATGACAGGTGAACAAAAGGAAATTAGGACAATAAATGTGTTAATTTGACATAGGTCCTGTGAATGTCAATTTGGATTTTAATAGAGGAGGGGCTATGTGTTCTATTTGATGACTGAAAAAGAAATAAGGGGAAGAAAAATCAATGTGGCATGGTTATTTTAAAAAAAGATTCTCATGAGAAATTTTCTTTTATTTCATGACGTATGGAGCTCCATATAACCTGCGTATTTGCCTAAAATATGCAAAATAAATCACCATAACCCAATTAATTGGGAGTTGTTTACCTACAAATATGCATGAAACATTGGATAAAAGAGACAATAGTATAACAACACTGTGTGTAATACCCACTGTAGCCTTTTCAGCTTGTGTACCGATGTTGACACACATCCTTATGTACTGATCGATTGCAGGCACCATCTATTCATCAACTCTACTGCAGTGAATAATGCACAGAAGTGCTACGTCTCACTTCTTGCAGCTGAGACATGTATCGCTGTTGTGAGGTTATGTGATGTATGACAGACTTGGGACAGAACATGAACATAAGAAAATTAAACGTTTCCTAAAACCACCTATTCAGCAGAATTATTTTTAAAATGTCTACTCGTTGGTCAAAAATACCCAATAGACTGGACCAAATATATTGACAACCCAAAGAAAACAGACAAATACCCTTGTGAATGAGTGAACATTTGAGTCAATACTCAGCGGCTTTAAGACTCATCTGTAGCCCTGGGCCTCATGGTCATGGAACTCAGTAAAAATCTGAGTGACAGTGAAACATCTCATCTTGACAGCATTGTATTTTCACAATAAGAAAAACATTGGTGGAACACTTATATGTAAAGGCCACCTGCAAGTTGCCTTGAAACCAAATATTTTTTATGGCTTTAATGATCAGTTGTCTCAAACATTTACAAAGTCTTTGGATACAGTTAAGCAAGATTAGACTATGGTCTCATATAGTCCAAGACAGATTACATCTGAAGGACTTATGTTTTCTAAAAACTATTCATGTTATTAACACCACTTATCTGATTGTGGTGTTTACCTGTCTGATTTAACTAATGGTGTCTACCCCTGTAAAACAGTAAGTGTTTAAGTTGAAAATACTCCTGTTACACAAAAAAACATGTAATTGGTTCGTTTCACCATTTTACTTTTTAGTCATGTTGATTCACAGTTGTACATTTCGTAATCTATTTGTAAATTCCAGGATCGGACGGGTCCATCGTGTAACAAAGGCTACAAGGTCCTCAAGATGCCTGAGTGTCGGCGCACGATACATGAGTTTGACCTTGAGGACAGCAACAAGGTTGAAGAAGAAGGGATAGATTATTTCTGCGAACCCTCAGTCGTCCAGATTGATACATCGGGGGTCGGCTTCCAGAGAATGTCGTCATTCCGTGACTCCCTACGAGAATCTGATGCCAAGAAGAAGAAACGAAGAAGAACCGTTTCTGGTGTGCCAGAGAACTTGTTGTATGAAATCAGTGAGTTTGAACGAAAGAAACGAAACACTTTTGACAGTGCTCCGCGAGACAGACCAAGAGCTTACAGTTTTGATGACCTAGATGCTAAGACTAAAACTGAACGAGATGAAATCCTTGCACAGTATTTTGATGAAATTGATGCAAAATATGAAGAAATGCTTGAAGAAGAAACTGCACAGAAAGAACCCAAAATACTAAAATTCTTACCCTGTAGACGTTCAAGGTCCCTCCCGCGATGTGTAAAAATGTCTCATCGTAGTATCGAGCGATTTCAGCAAGGCAGTTCAACGGGAAGTTACGCCAGTACACTGAGTCTCGCGAGTGAGAACTCAACTGGTTCAAGGTTTTCCCGTTCAACGAAGCGGTCCAGCATCATCAGCAACAAGATTAAGTCCCTTGTCAGCGCTGGGAATGCTAGACTGCGACAAAGACCGAAGTCACTCGACCTAGATGCCATCGAACTCTGCCCAGACAACAAGAAGAAGACAAACTTGAGAAAAACAACATCTCCTAGCATGCCTGCAAATATTGAGCAGACGACATCTTCCACAGACAGTGTAGTGGGACCTGGGACATACTACTATTTTGAGAGTAACACTATTCCACGAGCTCAAGCTAAGAAATACGACTTCCCATGGGAGAGTCTGCCTAAAGATTGGACCACTTCAGTGAAACTCCGGGAAATAAATAAGAGGAAGTCAATGGAAGAACGTAATTCTTCTTCAGGTAAGACATCAAACAGCACTGTGTGTACATGACTGTTATGACTGTGCCAACATTCCACTGAAAGTTCTGCAAGAGCCTGTTAATGATATGCATGTAGCCTTTTTTAACTATTTCTGTCAACAGTTGTGTTAGACAACTATGATTTATGAGAAAACACAAGTTTATGAATAACAACTTCCGGTTTAATCATTAGTTAAATATAATTTATTCAAATGCATGTTTTCTTTACAAGAACATCTGATCGACCAACAGAATAATTTCACTCCACAACTTTACTGATTGATTTCTTTCTGTCGGGATTTGTCATATAAACAGTTTATTTTTACACGTGTCGCTCAACAAAAGGTTTCACAAAATATTACCTTCCATTTGTGTATGTTGAAGGAAAATAATTAAAACCGACAACGACTTAGAATCAAGCACCTGCTTCAATTGTGTATCGTGTAGTCTCCCACCGACTCACACAAATATCAATTGCACATTCCACCTCATGTCAATTGGATTATGTTAATCTGCATAATTTATAGCAAAGTATGCCATGCATCTTTCATCTTGCTGTACACAGAAACAGTTACAGTAATCCTAATCTGACACACAGGATTAAGAACAGCTTAAAGGATTTGACAAATTAGTCATTAACTCTAATCCCAGGGGTAGAGGCCCAGCATGGCAAGTAAGTGATTTAAGGTCCTAGTTCCCCTGGCTGTCAGATCAGGTGGACCAGATGCAGTAATGAGTTCACACATTCCATGCAGCCTCAGCTCATTGTGCACATTCATCATTTGGAAATTATCTTTTTATTATGTTTTGTGTATCTGAAGCATATTCGTAAATATTCAACAGGCTTAATAGATGCCTTTTTGGTGAGTACGTCTGAAAAGGACAATATTTTAGGTATTTATTTTTCCCATATTTTACAATTTGACCTGTTATACACCCTTCCAATTCTGTTATCTGAGAAGATCATGTGAAAATACTTTAAATATTTCATCCAATTTTGTAAGTTGAGTTACATTCATGGATTTTTTACTTTGAAGGGAGGACTATTGTCTGTTATGTTAAAACATTATTTGTAGTTTTTATCATCTACCGATGGCCCCCGTGGTCTAGTAGTAGAGCGTTCGCCCCTAGAGCGAGGGTCCAGGGTTTGATCCCCGGCCGTGTCATACCAAAAGATGTTAAAAGATGGTACCCTGTCTGGTGCTCGGCATTAAGGGACAAAAACAAGGACTGGTCGGCTCGGAGTCAGTACACTGTGTCTGAGTTGGGTATTCATGTTAAACTGCGGCATGGTATCTCAGTTAGCTAGCACGATAAATCGACATCACTCCAGACAAGTATTAGCAGCCACACACACACACACACACACACACACACACACACACACACACACACACACACACACACACACACACACACACACATGCATGCACGTCACTATATAAGTGCAATAATCACAATTTCACCTCACCTCACCTGGCAGGACTATTATTTGTTATGTTAGAAAATTGTTTGTTGTTTTGTCATCTACACTGAGCAAACTGGTTTGATGGTTATGTGATCATGATCAGTACCTTGTTATCTCAATCCCTGGTGTTTCCATGTTTTTAACTTCTTTTCTTTCTTCTTTCATCTTATATTTTTACCAACGTTTGATCATTTAGAACATTACTTTTGTCAAATACCTTAACAGATTGTGTATGTAAATACCAAGGAACCCAGATGTATAAACTATAGGTTGTGACATTACGATATCATACCCATGCTACACAGACCTTCCCTGAGGATTCCAAGATGATTGATCCCATAATTTATTGATTTCAATAGTGGTCATTTGATGTGTATAACAGAAAATCAAGTAATGCATTAAGTGTACTAACTAAAGACTTGACAGTGCTGAGAGATTTGATTGATCATATTCTATTTTGACAGACCATGTTCATAATGCCACAAATCAAACATGCTTTCAGACAAGATAAAGTACTTATAAATTATTTCGAGAAATGCTTCATGGTAACCAGCGTGACACTCTGTACATTATGTTTACAGGTGCCTGGAGTGCTAGTGGGAGCAGCAGCAATCGTCAGTCACTGGATTCCGCCAAGTCCAGTATGCCATCATCCACATCTCAATATTCTATAGGGAAGGATTCTGGCAGAGACTCTCCTTCTATCACTGATGACAGGTGAGCCACTTATTAAACAAGAGCTGTTTATTGCCCCAATTGGAGTAAAGTAGGTACCCCCTATCCTGTGCTTGTAGAAAGAACTGACAAGTGGGAATGGGTGGTTATGATGTGAGACCTGGCTGATGGTTGGCCATCATTCCTTGACGACATGGGGAATGTGGTTGCTCATGCTATCAACCACTGGTTTATCTGACCTAGACTTCATTATTTACAGGCCACCATGACATAGCTAGAATATTGCTGACTGGTGTAAGTCCATATGCAATAAATCACTCACCTAATGGTTTAACCTTGTCATGTTTTGAAAGGACAAACAATATTCAAAATAATATTTTCCAATATGTTGATTCCTTGCAAATTCCTTCATTGATTAAGGTTCTTTGCAACAAATTAAGGTTATATAGGTATGTCAAGATAAATGTTTTGATTGATTCTTTCTCAATTTTTCAGACCAGATGGTTTGAAGTACAGTCCTGTACAGTCCTGTCCTGGTGATGATGACGTTGAGTCAGTAACCGGGACCAAGTCCCACTTCACCAAGATGGACACTGACGCCTGGCTGCAGATGTTAGCAATGAAGGCAGCAAGTAGGGATGACGTAACATCCGACTGTGCCGACACGCTCAAGTCGCTCTCCCAGCTCACCAAACAGAACATCCAAGCACTAGATCTGATGTCTCCAGCTCTCAAGCCTCCTCCGAAGTTAGATGATGAAGTCTCATCTGTGTATTCATTAGATCAGGAAGGCTTTTACACCTCCTTCCATAATGACAGTGGCTTGAGGCGCAGCACAGCCACATTGGATGAGGATGTGGATAAGATGTCCCCTGTGAAGGAGGCTCAGAGTATGCTAAGCATGTGCAGCACGAACACGGTTGAGAGCGTCATCTACAGACCTAGGGATGGAGAAAAGCTGGCATCCCCTGTCAGTGTAAAGAAAGGGGGTAAGTGCCCTCCACCACCACCACGCAGAACCAGCAGTATGGAAGTCTGTGCTAAGATTTCCGAGAATGACAGCAGTAGTTCTGGAGGAAGCACCTCTACTCTCAACAATGATAGATCTAAACCTGGCCAAAAGGGTTTAGATTCTTCTTTCTCTGAATCTGACCAAGAAACCATCTATGCAAGACTCAAAACCAAGACCAGAATTTCATCCGGCATGTATCCATCCTGGTGCTCCGTTTCTGATGAAGACTCCACACCAGAGAGTTCTCGAGAGAAACTTATGAATGGGCACAAAGATGTCAATGGAAATGCTTCTAAGCTTTCGCCTTTTTCGAGAAGCATTTCCCAGCCGACATCAATTGTGATGACAGCCGGACAGGATCTATCCCTCTGTAATCCTACAATGGTAGGGTTGTCAGGCAAGGGAGAAGATATGAATCTGGATTGGGAAGGTCATACGCTACCCAAGAGGCAGTTCTCATCAAAGATGATTGATGATGAGGACTTCACCACTAACTCTTGGCCAAGGTCTGGTATTCTGAAGAGAGATAAATCACCCAATGGCAAAACCCCCAAAACATTGAACTTTGCACCAATGATTAATATGTTTGATCCAAAGTCACCTCAAGGTGTGCAGCTACCTTTGCCTGATATGTCCTCCTCTTCTTCTGATGAGACAAAGACCTCAGCAAACTCACTTACAAGTGCCTCAGATGATGGGTCCTTCTACAAGCTTGCTATTCCTCTAGGTACACCTGAGACTGTGAAGAAACATCATGGAAAGATTCCAATGAAATACCAACCCATCATAACAGTCAAACCTAGACCCAGATCTGCTACAGATGGCGGTCAGAAATCTGGTGCTTATGTGAAACTGTCCCCTGGGTCCCAGCCATCACCACCAAGTCAAGTTGTGTACCCTACTAGTGTCATCAAGCCATCTACCTCTACTCCAAATGCATCAAAAACGCCTTTCAGAAATCGCTCGTCTAGTTGCAACAATCGAGTACGAGCTCACTATGCATCCACAGACATCATGTCACAGAGTTCAGGGAGCTCCTCATCCATCCCTTCCATCTCTTCATCATCCGATGGTGGCTACATGGACATGAGGTTGGCGACTATCAAGAGTAACCAATCAGACACTCTAAGCAGTAATAGCTCCATTGCCTTATCTGACATTGACTCCAGCAGCTTGACATATGTCAGTATGTCCAGTGCAAACAGTACCCCGACAAACTCTACCCTCACCTTGACTCAAGATTCAGGATCAAATATGTCTGTTCCAGAAGACAAAGACTCTTATATGACTCTTGGGCAGAACCCTGTGAAATCTATAAAAGACATGGCTGTTGTGAATGGGCCCACAGTGTCTAGTCCCCCAACCTTCTCCAGTTTTAATGGACCAAATACCAGATCATTCACATCAAGCTTATCCCCATCTCCCACTGTTGAAGCACCTAAAATGACCTTGCACAGATCTTCCACAAATCCTCAAATTTCGTGTGGTTCTCAAGGTGTTTCGCCTGCTGCTTACTCCTCCATACCTCATTCAAATTCAAGGACAAGCAGTCAATCTCATCGACATTCCCTGTCTCCTCATCAGTCAACACCAGTGAACCATATTCCCCCTAGTCAGTCCAGCTCAGTACAGAGACCATCTGTTCTGGCAGTGTCACCATTACAACAGTCACAACGTCCCAAAGACAGGCGCAGATCTGCTCCTCCACTTGGACAGTCCCACAGCAGTTTTTACTCTCAAGGCTCACCAAATAATGCTTATTCTCAAGGATCGCCAAACAGTGTCTTCTCTCAAGGATCACCCAGTGGTTTCTATTCCCAAGGATCACCCAGCAATGCTTACACTCAAGGATCACCCAGCAGTGTGAGGTCAGCAGACTCGCAAAACTCTGCTAATAGTCGCAGTGACTCCTACAGAGTAGCCATGAAGACAGAATATGATCAAGAATCGCCGTCAACTCCCAACCGGGCTGAGTCATATCGAGTCGCAGTCACCAAGACAAACTCAGCTCCCCCTGCAGTTGAACCAGAAGTTCCTAATAGAGCTGATTCCTATAGATTTGCAGTGAGGAACACTAATGGTCTTGTAGACAGTTCTCACAAAAGGAACACTTCTTATCGTGTTACTCTTCATGAAGGTGAAAGAGACAGTAGACTTGATGCTCTAAATTCATGGAATGGCAGTGGTAAGGACCTTCGTAGAATGTGCATCACTGACATTGACCAATTAAAGTGCTATTCAGATGATGATTCCACCAAAAAGACAAAGGAAAAGAGTGGAGGAGGGATATTTGCTACTATCAACTCATCCAAGAAAAAGATGAGTTCTAAATCAGACATTGAATCCTCGCTGAGACCAAACAAAACACCATCTCCTGACAGTGGGAGCAAAAGGTCAAGCAAGGCTGATAAAGAGAAGGACAAAAAGAATGCCAAGACAAGGTCCTCTACCTACATCAGATTTGATCCGATCTTTGAGGACAAGGAAGACTTCTTCAATTCATCTTCGGACACTCTTAGGGCACAATCTGTGTCGTCACTGCGGCCGCTCTCTGCATCACACTCGAGTGAAACGCTGACCACAGAGGAGGGTCCCTTGTTGGCGAAGAGGTTGCAGTCTCCAGGGCCTGTGGGGAAACACAAGGGCTCAAATGGCAAGAAACCGGTGGATGAGAGAGCTGTCATGTCAATTCTAGACAGCATTAAGTCAACAATAAAATCTATTTCTGGTCGAGGTCCAGATAAAGAAGACAACCACTATGTAGCCCAGAAGTATGCTGCAGACATTTGAGGGTTTGGGTAGAATGTACAGTGGAACCCTATCAGTCTAGACTGTGCCGGTCAGAGACAATTTGTCCAGATTAATATATTTCTAGATTAATTAATCAAGGGTACTTTGTATTGTCCCTTTGCATGAATGTTGATGTCCAAACAGTCATTGTCCAGAAGGTGGCGTTTCCACACTGACGGAGTTCAGATTAAATGGGTTTCACTGTATATACTGTCATTGTAATGTTTCCATAGTGACTGATCAAGGTTGTATTTTCTAATGGGTATTAGATGTCAGGTCCATGACAAAGTCATTCCACATGGATGGTATTTGAGATCAAATCTCCATTTTGTCACACATCAAAAGCCAAAATATATGGGTAAATAATATGTATATTGTCATACCGGTAGATACTGGAGGTATAAGGAGGTGGTAATTATTGGGAGTGCACTAACATGTAAGAATGATACTGAATAAGATCTGAAGTGGATTTCATTCCCAAATTATATAATAAACTACAAATAAACTTTATCAGTGAGTTATATGCAAATTGATTCCATGAGATGGGAGTATTCATCTTTACACCAAGCTTAAGCCATGTGGTACTTTTGTTGTATCGCTTTGGTGTATTTTAAATGTACAAGGATTAGAGAATAGGATGTGATAATATCCAACATTATGCCACATGTATACATGTGTAGTGGTCAAATGTTCAGTATGTTTGAATGGGTATTATATTATCATGTTTGTACTGGTGCAGTATTTGACATATTAGTGATTAAGTTATGAAACCTGGTATACGGAATGTTCGAATGTATGTCAATACCCTTGATTCAGGTTTTCATAGAGATTTACTGATTCAAAAAATACCTACTCAATTATCACCAATATTAATAAAAACAAATTGTACAAATCAGTCAAACTGCTGAAAATATATCTCTGCAAGTTTAAAAATATGTAAGTGATAATTTACATTTGGGCATTGCAAATGTATGTTTATGGCACATAATTGAAAATTCTGGAGCCTTTTATACACCAAAGAAAGGTATCCACATTTTATCATTTTGGATTGAGTGTCTAGGACATGTAAATATGCTAGTATTTAGTAAATGGTTGCTGAATCAGTAATATTTGATATTAATAACAAGAAATATCTTCTTTTCTCATGTAAGATTTGGTGCAAAAAAACATCCATCATAATAGATTGTGAATGATGTCTGTATAATTGAGGGAATGGTTCATGATAAAAGATTGATCTTAGTTATTTTAACATACATGTATGTTATGTTCATATTCTTCAAAACAACTCATACTTTTTAAATAGCAATCAGCTTTAATACCTCATGGGTTGATCTGTAAATAGTTTGTTCATCAACATGTTGCCACAATGATAATTTAAGGTAAATATTCAGTTTTCACCACTCATCACATTGCCATTACTGCTGCTTATTCATACACCCACTATATCAAGTAGTCATTCTTATACTAGCAATTAGTTGTTTTTGTTATTGTTTTTCACTGTAATTCAACAGAGATTGACGTTCTGATATTAAAAAGATATTGGTTATTATTCAAACTGATTTATAGGAAGAAATGTCACTGTATTTTAGATACTTATAAAAAAATAAATTAATTGAAGGATCCATGAATCAAATCCTGTTAAATATATTTACTGCAATGACTACAATGTGTTCAGTGCAAATGCTTTTCTACTACTGCCATGTCATGTAGTCATACAAATCATTTCTTTTCTTGTCATCGGAGAAAGCTTGTCTAAGTTATTTATTTATCATTGTTAATCTAATTCCTGGAGTCATCGCTATTCACAACTGAAGTCATATTTTCATAAATATTGTTTAAAATAAGAGGAAAACATTATCTTTCTTTGTCATTGATTCAAGATGTTTGTCTATAAACTCATAAGTGTCAGTGATGACATGTAACATGTAGATTGGGATGTAAGTACTAAGGTTAATTACATGTTTTTAATACCCCATATCATGCTATCGTTATTTACACAGATTGTTACGATCATGTGATCGTAATTGCTGATTTTACCATCCTATACAACCCCACCTAGTAGGACTTCATCTATCCATCCTGTTGGATTTTATGAGGCTGTACATTTTGCATTCTAATCATCTTTATTTGTTTAGATTGTTTAGCTCATTGAGTGCTTTTTGAGTTAGAGTGACCATCCTATGATGGTTAAACAGTGTGCATATTTACTGTCAACATTCCTAGAATCAGAATAAAGTATTTTAGATACTTAACTAAGTTCTTGTGTTATTGAAATCGCTATTGAGTTGGGGGCATCAGAAAGTGAGTGATTACCACAGCAGTAACTCAGCAGTTTTCTTTTTTTGTGGTTTATTGATGCACTCAGCAATATTCAAGCTAGATGACGGTGATCTGTAAATAATTGAGTCTGGACCAGACAATCCAGTGATCATGAGCTCATGACATCATGAGCTTTGATGTACATTTGGGATACAATGACATGCATCAACCAAGTCAGCGAGTCTGACCACCCGATCCCGTTAGTCACCTCTTAAAAAAGCATGAGTTGGTGAAGACCAATTCTAACCTGACAAGTATGGGTTGGTGAAGACCAATTCTAACCTGACAAGCATGGGTTGCTGAAGACCAATTCTATCTTACAAGCATGGGTTGCTGAAGACCAATTCTAGCCCGACAAGCATGGGTTGCTGAAGACCAATTCTAGCCCGATAAGCATGGGTTGCTGAAGACCAATTCTAACCTGACAAGCATGGGTTGCTGAAGACCAATTCTATCTTACAAGCATGGGTTGCTGAAGACCAATTCTAGCCCGACAAGCATGGGTTGCTGAAGACCAATTATAAGGTGGATCTTCACTGAGAGTGACAAGTACTGCTCAGGAGGAATGTGTAAGTGCAAGTGGTATAATAACTCAATAATTTGTGAATCTTTTAATTTTAATACCCTACAAATTCCTCCTCCAAGTCAATTTGATTTATCAAGACTGGAGGTGATGCACAGATTTTTTAGTTAAAATAATTTATTTCTTTTTTTGTAATTCTGCAAGTGATGACTATAAGTCTACCAGCAAACTTAGACATTTAAATATACTAACATCAAGTACTTCTTTTCAAATAATAGAAAAAAGGTGTATTCACTTTTTAATAATTACAGCATATTTATCATAAAGAGTGAGTGAGTGAGTACGGTTTTACGCCGCTTTTAGCAATATTCCAGCAATATCACGGCGGGGGACACCAGAAATGGGCTTCACACATTGGACCCATGTCGGGAATTGAACCCGGGTCTTCGGCGTGACGAGCGAACGCTTTAACCACTAGGCTACCCGACCGCCGCTTTATCATAAAGAACTTGCAGCGGTCATACAACTGTCCTGAATCTAATATTTAAGAACCGTAACGTTTTCTTCAACAACAGACCTACTCCTTACTGGCAACATGTTAAACTACGTACTGATGCGTTCACCAGATGGATCTTCAAGCCCTAGCAAACAATAAATAAGTTTTTTATACATAAAGTATATTTGCAATGGATGACAAGATGGCATGATGGTGAACTTCTATGTTACAATTGTGGAGGCATTAGGCTATAGATAAGGTCAAGCAACTGATGACATATACTTGGCAGATGAGCAGATACTAGTATAGGCAGGAAACACAGGCGATGGTTTGTTTGTTGTTTAACACCATCATCTGCAGTATTCCAGATATATGAGGGCGGCCTTTAAATAATTGAGTCTGGACCAGACAAACCATTAATTTCTTGCTATGAACAACTCCCACGTAGGGACCAACCAACCAACCACATCACCAAGTCTGACCACCCGACCCATGAAGTCGCCTCTAGCGACCAACAACGCTTCAAACGTAATTTGTCTAATGTCATCAGTCATGTCGCACTATATCAGGAAATGTACCTACGCTTGCCCATAATTTCAGAGGCATGTGTATTGACAAAACAGCCAACTGATGACCGGTTGCATGGAAAACAATTTTTTGAGCGAAATCTTAGAATTAAACTATATTGTATTATTAATCTTCCTGTGAAGCGACGTAGCTTGTTTTGGAGGAAGCACGGGTGGCCCAGTCGTCTAAGGCGCCGCAATTCGCTGGCAGAGTAGCGTCCCTTGGGCACGCCAGAAACCTATGATCATTAAGTAGTTTACAGGATATTTTTTCTCACAGTGGAGTTCAATGGACATGCAAGTAAAACGATTAATTAAATACAACTCTCACACAAGGATTTTAAACAACACGTAGGGATGTTATTACGAAAGGTTTGGGACCGTACATGTTGAGAAATTACATTTGACGATTATGTAAAATCTGTACGATCTAAAAATCGGCACTCACAAATTGTGTTAGAAATAGGCAGAACAATCCTTAACTGTGGTGTTTAAACAGCAAATCGACTAATGGCTTCAGCACACGGCACCATGCAGCCTTACGCTCGATTACAATCTTAGTGCTAAGGACACACCAAAGTAAGATGGTGCTACGGGTGCTTTTTGAAACGGTTGTAACTTCAGACGAAGGTAACCTTTATACTGACCCTAGTGAAAAGGTTTACTTTAGCTGAGGTTGTTATGTTTTAAATGGGCCTTGGCTGTCTACAAATAGCCCGTGCGCAATCATTCCAAGAACAGCTCATATCATATACTAGGGGCGGTCGGGTAGCCTAGTGGTTAAAGCGTTCGCTCGTCACGCCGAAGACCCGGGTTCGATTCCCGACATGGGTACAATGTGTGAAGCCCATTTCTGGTGTCCCCCGCCGTGATATTGCTGGAATATTGCTAAAAGCGGCGTAAAACCATACTCAGTCAGTCAGTCAGTCAGTCAGTCAGTCACAGTCAGTCAGTCAGTCAGTCAGTCAGTCAGTCACAGTCAGTCAGTCACAGTCAGTCAGTCAGTCACTCACTCACTCACTCACTCACTCAGTCACTCAGTCAGTCAGTCAGTCAGTCACTCAGTCAGTCCGTCCGTCCGTCCGTCCGTCCGTCAGTCAGTCAGTCAGTCAGTCAGTCAGTCAGTCAGTCAGTCAGTCAGTCAGTCATATACTGACAATAAAGTGGGGGGCTGAGTTTTACATTCTTTGGAAATGTTTTCAGTTGTAAGAATCAATATATCCAAATTCTACAGGCCCAAGTACAAGACACCCTTCCAGCTTCAATCACCAAGCGTAAAAGTCAATGGTCAAAGCAGGGCTAAATATCATGACACAGTGAGTGAGTGAGTGAATAAGGTTTTACGACGCTTTTAGCAATATTCCAGCAATATCACGGCGGGGGACACCACAAATGTCATGACACAGAGAAGACTTTAATATACCAGGGGTAGCTTAACAGTTCTGAGCCTAACTATGGTGGAATGCTTTGATGGAGCTGGTTGCATGCTAATTATTATTTAACATTACCCCCTCCGAGGTCCATACACTTCTGCTAAAGATATTAAAGTGCCTGGATCTCACTCGTGTATAAGGCCTCCGTTTGGTGTTGTAAGATGTTCTCGATAAATGACGTGGCGTCATCATCATCTTTTGCATAATGCTTGTCAGACAGTTCCTGGTTTAGGTTTAGGGAAAGGGGGAAATATGACGGTGCCAAATCTGGTGAATACGGGGATGTTCAATAATTCAAAGCCACAACCATGTATTGCAGCCATGGCGACAACAGATTTGTGTACAGGTGCATTGTCCTAGTGGAACCTCACCTTTGGTGAGTTTTCTACAACGTGTATCCTGGATATACTGACGCAGTTGCCTAAACAGATTAGAATAATATTGGCCATTAAGATTCTGAACTTTTATAAGGTAGTCCACCAGTATGATTCCTTTGGATCCCAGAAAACCGAAGCCATCGCCTTGCCAGCTGATGGAACAGACAGTGCCTTCTAAGGAAGAGACTATTGGTGTTTCCACTGCTTTGACTGTGTTTTTGTCTCTGATTGTGGTGAAACCATGACTCATTCATGGTTACAAATCGCTTCACTGTTTAAATGAAATCGGAAGGCAGAAGCCTTGGAAACCAGCACGCTGAAAAGTTTGCCATGCCGCGATCATTCCTCAACTCTCATATATGACAGATGCCTACTGTCTTGACTCTGTGACGTGTGGTGAGTCGTCGGTAATCCGTAAATGTATCATGTACTTTATCAACATTTAGTGGTGGCAGTTGAATGTCTTCTTGATCTTGGTCCGTCTTCGATGCTATCTCTACTCCTCGTGAATTCCGCTGCCCACCTCTTAACAGTGGTATAGGAAGCAGCATCGAGCCCAAAGTTGACATCATGTCTGCATGGATGGCTGTTGGAGTTAGCCCTTTAAGTTGGAGAAACGTTAACACAGGGCGTAACCAATTGTGTCCATTTTCATCAACAGAATGCCACGTGGATGTCGCCATACGTATGCTGCATGGTTGCGCACTTGGTTCAAGTGCAGCCAGTAAGCATGGAAAGTATTGTACCATGTGTTACGGGTGTACTAAACATCCTTCCTAGTTAGGCTCAGAACTGTTCATCCATACCTCGTACCACGCATCTACATTCGTCTTCCTGCAAGTGAAATATTTAATATTTCTTCAATGGAAAAAACTTTAAAATTCCAAAATTGTAAGATTTGTTTGCTTAACGCCGCACTCAGCAATATTCCAGCTTTATGGCGGCAGTCTGTAAATAATCGAGTCTGGACCAGTCAATCCAGTGATTGATATCATGAACGTCGATCCACGCAATTGGGATCGATGACGCAGGGAGTATCGCATCGGTGTTAGAGATCAATGAGATCGAACATAGTAGAAAATACTGTTTAAAACCCAAATTAAGGAGGCTAACCAAGGTTTTAATCTGTGTGTTGGCGTATTAACTCACTATGATGAAGTGCAACAATGCGTTGATATGCTTCTTCACAAACAATGAAAACAATGAAGCAATTGGCGTGAACAAGCCTACCAGCATGAAGCAAACAATATGATAGCCTTCGTCCGATGGATAATATATACCTATAGCATTTGTCTGTGTGCCCTGGAGAAATAATTAAAATCAGTTCTTTAACTCCCATACGATCTTGTCTGATTTTGATGACATTGCCTATGTAAAGTGAGTGAGTGAGTATGGTTTTACGCCGCTTTTAGCAATATTCCAGCAATATCACGGGGGGGGGGGGGGGGGGGGGGGGGGCACCAGAAATGGGCTTGACACATTGTACCCATGTGGGGAATCGAACCCGAGCCTTCGGCTACCCGCCCGCCCGCCTATGTAAAGATTTAAAACAAAAAGAATAATCAACTTTGTTATCAGGCTTCGAAGTACGGTCAAAATTATTTCATTTTTGTTGTACCATATATTTTATATTTTGGGATATACTCCATATGGTCTCTAACATACAGAAATGAAGCCACTAAATTTTAATCTGTTAGAAAGTGCAAATTTCATACACCACTGAAAGAAAATCTTTACTGTTCTATCAATTAATAGGATATCCAAATGTCTAGACACCTCCATTCTCTAACTGCATACAATATAGCTTCGATAAACACCTGTTACTCGAGAACCACGAAATACATCAATAGGAATGTGAAGACTTGGTTCTCATAATGATGTAAACCAATCGAATTACAGTCTCACATCGAGACTCATTTTCATTGGTCGTGCGGTTGCCAAAATGGCTGCGCTTTGACGATCTACATTCGGAGAAGAAATAGTGATGGTATTTACAGACGACATTTCTATCCAAAGGTATTTAAACGCGTACAAAAAAGGAGAGTAGATATGTCAGTTTCGTGGTGTGTCGTAATTTATCACGATAGCTCAGCAATTTCCGTGAACTTGCTCAGCGTAGCCCGATAATGGAGTCGCCTAAACACCGGCGACACGCAGGGCTCTTGACTCGGAACGAGGCCTGCTGTCGTCGGTCTACCTCGCCGAGTTCTACTCACTGACCTCAACGCGGCTCGGGTTTATTCGTGTGATTCTTGAGCTTGAGGCGTGTGCAGCTAACTGAACTTGATTGTACAACAGAATATACAGTTGAGTTTCAGTCGATTTTGCACGACTTCCGTGCACGTGATGAAAATACCACAAGCCCGTGAACTACCGTATTTACCCTAAAGACCGATATCTGGAGTCATATCGCTCCGTCACTTTATTACTCATGCATGAACTCATTACACACCTTCGTACCGTAACCGGTGTGTGTGTGTGTGTGTGTGTGTGTGAGAGAGAGAGAGAGAGAGAGAGAGAGAGAGAGAGAGAGAGAGAGAGAGAGAGAGAGGTGTCATTCACTATTGTACTCAAAATAGTTACCCTTAATGTCTGTAATATTTTTGGGTAAATATGTGTATTGTTTTTTAGGACCCTCCCTTAGAGACTGTCGTCAGTTTGGGCTGACCCACCCGATTTCCTCTGACCCCCCACCCTTACAATAAATGATTGGTCCTTAAACATGGTAAAAGGAATGACACCCACAGATCGAGTCCATTGATATTTGACCAAAACGGTCAACTTCCAGATATTACTAGTATGAAAACAATGCAGATGAAATCTTTATTTATACGTTATGGATTCATTTCAGTTGTATAAATATAGCAAGTAATACACATAGATAAACATAACTAGTCAATATAAATGTAAGTAAATAACATAATATACCATAAGACGATACACTGCTATATTTATACCAAAAGATAAATGGTGCTCGTAAAATCCCTTGTTTGTGTGTTGTTTAAAGCCACACTGAACAATATTCTAGGTATATGACGGCGGTCTGTAAATAATCAAGTCTGAAACAGACAATCCAGTGATCGATATTGTGAATGACGATTGGGACACGGTGTAAGAACATGTAAAAATATGTTTTTTATTCAAAAACTTCGGTAATATATGCAGTTAGTGTGTCTAGCCTATACCTAAGGTTTTTATAAACAAAGGAAGATACCACAACCAACACAAGAAAGAGGCACAAGGGTATTGGATGGCATGGTCAGATCATGTAGTGAATACTTTGACTTGATTATTCAGTGAGCACATTGGTTAAATACCAGTAAAGTAGTCCTGTATAGATTCCTGGTTACAATTGGTCATGCTTGTCGTAAGAGGCGATTAACGGGATCGGGTGGTCAGGCTCACTGACTTCGTTGATGCATGTCATCATATCCAAAATTACGTAGATCGATGCTCATGCTGCCAATCACTGGATTGTTGGATCAAGATTCGATTCTTTACAAACCACCGTCATATAGCTGGAATATTGAGGAGTGCAGCATTAAAAAACAAACAAGCCAGTAAAAGTAACACTCAACGATTTTATTTTGTGCAGAAAGGTCCAAATAAAAAACAAAACTTCAGTAATCTTGGTTAAGCAAATAAAGATATATGCATCTGTACATTTGCTAACATTATTGATCTCCCCCAACCTTCCCCTCTTGAGTAATTTAACTTTGTTTTCTGTTCCACAGTCGCATCAAGCATTGAACATATGAGGTTCAGACAACACAGGAATGACAAACTGAAAGCACCCTGAATATAGGATTTGAGAATATGTTCTATCACAAGAACAGAAAACATTACATGGATGATCAAAAATATTTCTGAAGTGTAAACAATATTAATGATCTTGTCATGACATTTTAGAGAGAAAAATGTCGGACATCGAAAATGCTTCCTTGATAACAAGTCTGTATAGTGAGATTGTCCCCCCTGAAACTCATTCTGTTCAAGTTACAGTACAGCTGGACCCAGAAGGGAACTCCGTCATAAATATTCCTGAAGCCTGCCCTGCTCAGCCAGTCCACCCAGCGGTGGATGACACGGTCACATACTGCTACAGATGTGGACTGTGTGAGGTGGACTGTGGGACATACCAAGAACTAGTCAACCATCTGAAGCACCATCATTTAGGGAACAGTCATTTTCCATCTTTGAAAGGGACAAAAAATGATTATACCAACCTCAAACATGTCATTGTTATCACTGGAACGGAGATGTTCAAGTGTGAGTTGTGTGGTGCTCGGTTTGCAGAGTCTGAACTTGCCAAGGAACATCTACACGCCCATCATGGGTCTGAGCATGGCACAAATACCGATGCTGTCGTTGATGAAGACAATCCTGATCTGAAGAGCAATCAGCCCAAGAAACCCTTCCTATGCAATGTCTGTGGGAAAGGGTTCAGCAAGCAGTCCAATGTTGCACGTCACAAGAAAACTCATTCATTTAAGAAGTGTGACTACTGTGAAAAAATGTTTTTGATTGATTCTGATTTGGAAAAGCATCTGTTAAGTCACAAGGAGCAGAGAACAAATTCAGATGAGACTCAAGTTGATGAATCCAAGGAAAAAGGTGAGGAATGTTTTGGGGGAATTGTCAACCATGATGGTACGTCTACATCAAATGACAATCTCAGTACAGATGGGACAAGCAAAGAGCAGACGTCAGTTTTGGAGCAGACACAAGGGATGAAGGACTCCCAGCCTTCAGCTGAATCTTTGATTGAAAGTCAGTCTGATGGGGATGAAGACTTCTCCGGAAATGATTTTGATGAGATGACTTCATTTGGAAACACTGAAGATGATGGAATGTTAGTTGATGGAAAGAAATTTAAGTGTCATGTCTGCAGTAAAACTCTGAATGGGAAACAGCAGCTCAATGCTCACATGGCGGCCCATGATGAACAGTTTCAATGTGATTTGTGTGAGAAGGTTTTCAAGAGAGTGGAGGATCTCGACGATCATGAAGCCACTCATGAAGGAGAGGATTTATTTAAGTGTAGGGTATGTGGCCGAACTTTCAGACAGACGCGGCATCTCAAACTCCATCTTAAGATTCATGTTGAGAAGTTCAAATGTGATGAGTGTGGTGAGACATTTCCCACATATTCGTCACTGAGAGAACATGTGCGGACCCATATCGAATCGGCTCCGTTCAAGTGCGATATCTGTGAAAAACGGTTTACCTTAAAAAGCTGCTTACGTCGGCATTACTCAATTCATTCAGGAGAAAAACCACATCAATGCAAACATTGTGATAAATGTTTCCGGTTAGCAAGTAGTCTTCATTACCACAAACGGGTTCACACAGGTGAATTTCCATTGAAGTGTGATTTCTGTGATAAACGTTTTCGCTTGAGCCAGGCTCTAAAAAAACATGTTGCCAGCTTCCATGCTGCAGTGAAACCCTACAAATGTGACATTTGCAAAAAGGGATTTGTTGAAAAAGGTCGTCTCACTGCCCATCGAAGCAGGATCCATTTTGGTCAGAAAAACAGAAAGAAAGGTAGCAGCAAGACCGACTCGTCTGATCAAAAACATTCTTCATTTCCATGCTTTGTGTGTAAAGAGGGATTGAAAGACTCGAATGATTTAGAAAATCATCTGAGATCATGTCCGTCTCAACAGAAAGAAAATGATGGGCTTGTTTTGGAAGAGAGAGTCGACAAGAATGAACAGCCCAAAGTTTTCTTGTGCATGAAATGTGAGAAAGGCTTCAGCTCTTGTGAGAAATTACTGGCTCATATGAGAAGACATGGAGAGCCATCTTGGCTGAATAAGTCCGGGTCTTGTCGAAGCACGTGTCACGTCTGCAACAAGACTGTCAACCATCTCCAGAAACACCTGGTCACTCACATGGGTCTGAAGCCCTTCAGTTGTGAGGTTTGTGGCAAGTCATTCCCAGAGAGGTACATTCTCACCAAACACATGAAAAGTCATTCAACGGTCCGACACTACGAGTGTAAACTGTGCAACAGTGCTTTCAAGAGAGGTGATAATCTCAAACGCCACCTCAAAGTGACTCATAACGTTGATCCCGAGAAATATGAAATTAAAAATATCACATCAACAAAATCAAAAACCTACATGTGTAAGAAATGTGATATTAATTTCACTGATGAGGATGAGTTTAAGCAACATAAGAAAAACCACAACGAGAAAGTGCCAGCTATTTGTAGCATGTGTGGGAAGTTGTTCACAAATATGGTACACCTAAAAAGCCACATGAAGATCCATGCAAACTGGAGACCGTACATGTGTGAGACATGTGGGAAAACTTTCACGGAGAACAGTCAGCTGAAGAAACACATCCGCATCCACACTGGAGAGAAGCCATACTCATGTCAGTTCTGTGACAAATCCTTCTCCCAATCCTGTTCTCTCAACAACCATATGAAGAGTCACCAGTTTGTAGGTGATACTCCCTTTAAATGTCATCTCTGTTCCGCATCCTTCGCGTATTGCGGGGAGCTTGAGAAACACAAGCGAGGCCACATGGGGACTGACGTGTTTGGTTGTGGCTTGTGTTGTAAGAAGTTCTCTCACCCAGATGATCTTAAGCACCATGTTGATACCCATTTGGAAAAGCCATCTGAACAGCAGACTGATTTACCGAGTCAGACCGGCGCCTGTGGTGCAGATGTTATGACGGAGGACATGTCCTATCAACCTGACCCCATGGTGACCATGTCCTACGGAGGTCCTTTGGGGGGACCACCTGGAAGCTTTGACAGTCAGGACACAGGCAACATGACTGTAGGGACAGACTTGAGTGGTTTGACTGGGCCCATGATAACGACTCCTCCTGTTGCCATGGTTACTGGAATGGAAGCGTGCGTGCCCCTCCCGAGTGCCAGCATGACCCAGAGTATGAACCTGCATCATGTCCAGGCTTTGATGAGGGAAGCAGAGATGATGATACAGAATGCCCACCAGAATCAGTGAAACTTCAGAAAGTGGGAATGGGTTGTATTTAGTTCATGACTGACAGCAGGAATAAAGTATTAGCATTTGTCCCTAGTGACCTTGTAATGGCTTACATGCTATGGTAGGACATCGTTCAACCCCGGACCTTCCGCTCTCCGGGCAGCCTCTCTACCACTAGACCATGGAGGCGGTCACCATTGCAAATGGATGGACTCAAACGACTCATGAGAAGTTCTCCTAGCTTAAACAGACTGATCTGCCATTAGAATAGGTCTTCAGCAACCCACACTTGCTGTAAAAGGCGACTATGCTTGTCGCAAGATGCGACTAATGGGATCGGGTGGTCAGGCTTGCTGACTTGGCTGATGCATGTTATCGGTTCCAATTGTGTAGATTGATGCTCATGATATCAATCACTGGATTGTCTGGTCGAGACTTGATAATTTACAGACGGCTGTCAACAAACGTTAAACAACAAACAAACAAACTCTTACAACATGGACAGTTTAGCCAGTTTCCAGTGGTGCGTTTATATTTACCAAGGGAAGTAACTCTGCAGTAGGCCCTCTACCTGAAGGCATGATGCTCTTGTCTGTATGTCCCAGCTAAACAGGACAACACAACATAAAGACAACAGGAATTGTAACCAGAAAAAACAAACATTGAGAACTTTGTAATAATATAATTTATTTAATCCATCATATAGCTTGAATATTGCTGAGTGCGGCGTTAAACACCAACAAACAAACAAAACCAGCCCACTGGTGAACACCACCGGTACTCCACATGGGACGCCTGCACCGTAATAGGGTATACATGGAGCTCCCTAACCAACCACAGTCAGTCTGATGAGAGTGATCAAGCTCGAAAACTGGTTACTGATTAAAAAGAGATTCTTCTAAGGTGTTAGCCCAATACCCTGTCTTACCATAGCTTAGGTTTGAGTCTATTGCAAATGATTACAAAAGAAAACAGCAAGTATAACCAATCCTTGATCTTCCTTGTGTACAATCTGACATACATCTGTCTCGGTCCTAATACCCCGAAAACAATCTTTCCAACATTTTAAACATTCTTCTGATTTTGAATAATTGACTTAGGGTACACTTGCATGAAGGTGTGATTTTGAAAGTAGATCTATAAGTAGATCTTTGCTAAACTTGCAATCAGAAGAAATTTGGTAGGTCAAATTCAAGGTCATGATATGAGAAATTCTGCGCCGAGTTAGTGATAAGAGTTGAGATGGTGACATTACATACGGAACTAAGAATGGTGGTGAAATGGATGAGGTTATTTATAGATATTATACACTGGATAAGCAAGGATGACTCAAGGGATCGGAGGGTGGTCAGACTCTGTGACTCAGTTGATGCATGTCATCGTATCCCAATTGTGTAGATTGATGCTCATGATGACAGTTACTGAATTGTCTATCCAGAGTCTATTATATTCAGATCCCTGTCATATTCCTGTAATATTTCTGTGTGCAGCATAAAGCACTCACAAACAAACAAACAAACAAACAAATTATATATCAAGGTGGCGTGACTAGCTAGTTGAAATTTGCAGTGTCGGTCTATTTGTTTGACTTAAATGTTTGTATAGACATTGTCGGATATATTTGCGAATAGGGTGTTCTGTAAGGTGATCTTGGGCAGATCTTGATTTTTCTGTGTGCCCGTTCTCTTCTATCATGTTGTCTATGGCACTGGTCCTTTTGATTAGTTGAAACTGTTTGGTTTGTCAAAGCTGTGCTGGTGCTCAGTTCTAAATGTAGACAAAACAGGATCCCCGTATTTCTAACAATGTCAATTGTCTTTGTGATGATATTGACAAGAAAAACAACCATCTTTACAGTGTGTCCACATGTGCTCATGGAATACTTCTGCTTAGTTTAAAATTAATTGGTTGTGTGTTCATTTAATGTGCACCCATCTACCCATATATGACCGTGGACAGTTAGTTGAAATACATTGTCATTTGTCAGCTTGTTAATCAAAGCCAGAAAGACCGTCATTGACCATACAAGCAACAACAAATCAGGATTGATGAGTCACCATGACAGGGGTTCAGCCAGGTCACACATTGTAACCATCCTGTTCTCCCATTATTCTCACAAGAAGCATGTGTACTGTAACAAACACTTTCTTTGTTTAATGCAGCACTCCTCAATATTCCTCCTATATGACGTCAGTCAGTCTGTGAAAAATAATTAAGTCTGGATCAGACAATCGATGATAAATATTGTGAGCAACTATCCAGTGTCAGGGTACAAAGACACACAAAAAAAACCTCCAAACCTCCATTTAGTCATCTCTTACAACCAAGATCCGGGGTAGAATAGGTCTTCAGCAACCCATGCTTGCCATTAATGTTGACTATGCTTGTTGTAAGAGGCGACTAACGGGATCGGGTGGTCAGGCTTGCTGACATGGTTGATGTATGTCATCGTATCCTAATTGCGTGGATCGATGATCGTGATGTCAATCACTGGATTGTCTGGTCCAGACTCCATTATGTATAGACCCCTGTCAAATAGCGTTAAACAACAAACAAACTCTTACAAGGACAGCTCAGCCAGCCTCCAGTGGTGCATTTTTATTTACCAAGGGAAGTAACTCTGCAGTGTGCCCTCTACCTGAAGGCAAGATGCACTTGTCTGTATGTCCCTGCTAAACAGGACAACACAACATAAAGACAACAGGAAATGTTACCAGAAAAAAACAAACATTGAGAACTTCGTAACAATATAATTTATTTAATTTGATTCCTTTTTAGTAAACAATACACATTCACAGGAAACCATTCTTTCAGTTCAAACATTCTTGTCACGCACAATCCCTTTACAAAACGGTCAACATGTCTCAATACACAAATGCTCCATTCACCTTGCCAAATCCAGCAGTAGTGTTCTTTCATTGAATGCCGAAGGTTACTAAGGATGAAGCAGGACCCATCCGCATCAGATCTGACTGTTCGATTCATCCAATTATTCTAGACATTCAAACCAATCAAATCAATTGTTCCAGCACTTTATAACAAGACTTCCAGCACAAATTACACCTCAGATGAAGTCAAGCATATGTTGTATCAAACATATACACATCTCAATCAAGTCTGTCCATTTTATAAATTGTTAAAGTAACCCCTAACGCTGTCCATAGTGATGACTTCAACGATTAGCTCTCCTATTTTGCCTGAAGATCCAAGGTGCACCTCCAGGAAGGGACATCAGATCTCCCCTGACATATCTTGTGATTCAGACAACTTATGTCACTGAGCTCGGTTTAACACTGTGGTCCAGTTATATCGTGTCAGCTTGATTGTGGGAGGAAAGCTCGAAGTGACACAGGTCTAGGACATTTTCCACTTTCTTAAATTTGGTTGGTTGGTTTGTTGTTTAACGCCTCACTCAGCAATATTCCAGCTATATGGCGGCTGTCTGTAAATAATCGAGTCTGGACCAGACAAACCAGTGATTGATATCATGAGCATCGGTCCATGCAATTGGGATCGATGACATGTATCAACCAAGTCAGCGAGCCTGACCACCCGATCCCGTTAGTCGCCTTTTACGGCAAGCATGGGTTGCTGAAGACCTATTCTACCATTTTCTTAAGACCCACGAGCATGGGCATGGTGCTAAGAAACCTAGAAACATAATCAGGGCAAACCTGTCATCAAACCCATGATAACATTAGTGACTTTCACTTGGAACCATACAGGCCTACAGTCTTCCATTAAACGTCACCACAATGAGAGATGTCTACACATGCTGCACTGTGGAGCCTGCGTGAATGGAAAAACAGTTAGGGACCAGTCATTGGTCATAGCATCCCTGATTACCCAGAAACCTATGTCTTTTTTCTATTATGATAAACACTCTGGATGCATTTCCCACTAAAGCTTTGTTCTAAGCCTGAATAGCATGATACTTAGAATTGCAGTTCAATCAAATTACACTCCTAAACAAAAGACGATCTGTGCCAAGTTAATAATAAGAGACATCAAGATGGCGACTTACATGAAGCAATGGTGGTTAATGGGTCGTGGGCACTACAATATCACCCAAACCAACAGGGGCATGGAGAAGTTTGGGGAGCATCTTTACAAAGAGTTATTATTTTTATGTGATTTTCCTGATACTTTGGCAATGTTACATCACTGGGGTCATGAACAAATGGACAGCATTTGGAGAATTGTCATTTACATACAGTATGGGAGACAAATTCCCCATTGTTTTACAATCATGGTGAATCTAGGATTTGAATCATCTGATCCTCACACAGCTTAGGAAGACAACTCAGTGAATTGCGACACTTTTCACCCTTGGCGCCGCACTTCCTATGAAAACGGACCAGTCCCTTACACAGCCAAGGAGGATAATGTCATTGCCATGTTCAAAACAGGTGACCTCAGCCTGTGTGTTCATCTTCAGTCTTGATGGAGTTGTTTGTGGGACACTGGCAAGTGAGTGACGGCCCCCTACAGTCTAGGCCTGTGCTATACTTCATTGTACTTCTTGAGGGTGAGTCTGGGTATGATGTTCATGGACTGGAGCTCCTGGAAGAGAAGCTTGCAGGCGTAGGGCATCTTCAGTGTAGAGACTGCCTTGGAGGACTTGCAGTACTGGCACCTGGACAGGCAGAAACACAGGTTACATTTGACAGACATTAAGACAAGAGATAAGATAAGACTTTATTATCCCAAGGTATGACGGGATAAGATTTGTGTACAAAAAACTGTTAAAAGGTATAAAACAGATAAACATTCCAAAGACTGTTACTGGCTGGCATGAATGATTGCCGGACCCTGTTTGTTTTCAGCATCGGCATGCGCAGGCTGCAGCCAGGAGGTAGAAACTGATATTTGGAATGAAGTATATCACTGCTGTCATTTAGTATCTTAGGCGCCTTTTAGACAATTTGCTGCTCATAAATTTTGCCCATGTGTTGGAATTGGGTACCCGAGATTTTGCTTACTCTACTAGAAATGTTATGTATTTTACATTTATTTTGAACAGACAGGCTCCCATACCAGCAGTTAACATTAAAAACTAAAATGCTTTGAATAAATGTTCTATAAA